CTGTCTTTACATTTTTTTTTGTAAAGAAATTCGCGATGAGACCAATTTTAGACGGTGAATGGGAGTAATTGACATTTTTTTCGGAGACATTATGTTTTTGTGTGTCTAATATTGGATTAGGGTCGTCGAAGTACTGTTATTATTCATCTTAAGTCCGTCTGAAACTTAAAATGTATTTACTTTACTAAAGGGACACAATTTGTTACTGGGTACATAACAAGATATTACAAAAAGCAATAATACATTTCGATGCCGAAGTACTTTGAAGATTATCTTGGATGAAGACTAAATAAGTAAATAATCTCCTTGAGAACTCCTATACAAAAGGAGGCTAACGTTATATTTATCTTATATTAATTATTTTGTCATTTATCCCGTCTAATATGATTAAAAAATAAATTTAATCTGAAAATAATTATCTTTATCCGTTTGATACTTTGAAGAAAGAAGATTAATGGAATACTTATGCAATTTGCAACTGGTTGAGTAAAATACATATTTAAACTGTTATACTGTTTTTAAATCTTATACTCTTATACTAGTACTAGTATTATATACAGCGGAAGAGTTTGTTTTTTTGTTTGTTTGTTTGAACGCGCTAATCTCCGCAACTACAAGTCTGATTTGAATAATTGTTTTTGTGTTGGATAGCGCATTTACCGAGGATGGCTATAGGCTATAAAAAAACACGCTACGACAAATAGGAGCTCAGCAGAGCGTGTGAAACCGCGCGGAAGTAGCTAGTATTTTTATACTATTTGAAAATTCCTTTACTACATATACATTTACTCCAAATATTAACAGTATTAGGTTGGTATACATTACAGTTCAGATTGTATTTTATACTACACGTCATATTCGATCCTTTGTGATGAGTCAATACATTGTATCCGGTGTCAACGAACGGAATTATTGACTCCAATCGTAAAGAGCATTGTTTCAATAAATCCGTGGGATTCAGAGTGTTATAATATGGATTTGTACGAAACTGATTTTTTGTATAGAATAGATTGATTGATTGATATTACATTTGGGTTAAAATGGTACGGGATCTTCAACATAATAATGGTTAACATTTGATGAACTGTTCAATTAGGTATTCATGGTCAAACCTCGGGGCTTACTTTTGAATCCAATTCCGATCGATCGACATTGATATTGTTAAATTTCGTACTCTTGAGTTGCAGCACTAGCGCTCACTGCACCCGCAATGAGTGGATATTTAATGAACTAAATGGTGTTTAGTTTGGCTTTATATTCCGCACTTTGAATGCTATTGTAACAGTTACGATAGAGGTTGTATAGTTTTGAAATTGAATACTATTGAAATTTTATTGGTTTGATGAAATTACATTGACATTTACATACATTACTTTATGATAAAACATGTGACAGAATCTTGAGTAGACGCATCTTAAATAGACCTACGTATATATACAGCCATTTGATCTCCTTCATATTCGATAGGATCATCGTCAGCTTTCCAAGCTTCGGACTCTATTATGGAACGAATGCCAAATATTTCAAGAACTAGGATTCCCGGCTTGAAGTGCTATGGACTCTAGAGACATGAATCGTTGGCTATTCATATACTTTTAGCAAACATAGTTGGAGCTAAGAGTCGTTCGGGCGTAACTTACAATAACCACTTCTAGTAGTTGTATAAGTTCCTAAATTTAAAAAATTAAAATTATAACTTTTGTTGATCGAATAGTCGTAACCAACTACCGTGGAAAAGATTATTAGGCTTATTTATACTGTATCTTGAAAACTAAAGCTGAAGAATTTATATGTTTGTTTGAACGCGTTCATCTCTGGAACTACTAGTTGGATTTGGAAACTCTTTTTGTATTGGAAAGCTCATTTATTGAAAAGGGTCTATACCTAGCCTGTGCTATGAAATATCACGCTACGACTAATAGGCACAAAGCGAAACAGGTAAAACCGTGTGGCAGTAACTTATAGTATTCAACTTAATCAACTTAATAATGTGGACGAATTCTTTGACACCTTACTGGTGGAATTTCGTTTTATTTTCTTTTATTTTTATTCGCTCTTTCAGTTTAAGTTAATTTCAAGTCATATATTCATAACATTATGTTACCTATTTGCATTTCTAAGTTAGGTACCTACTTAGCAGTTAGTCATAAATAGAATGAACTCTGTAATTGTCCTCAGCGTGCTTTTAAATCATTAGATTAATATAAAGAACAGAACATCATACGGGACAGTTACAGCTTAATAGCTTAAAATAGGACACAGTTTGTCAAACTTAAGTGTCCATAATGGTTTGGACAGATTAATTTATCCTTATCGGACATATTCATTAATCCTTTTTGTCTCTCCGTAATTAATAGAGCGATGAACCCTAATCTTGAGTTCAAATTAGGAATAAAGAACCACCCATACACATGTAAAATGAAGTTGACCTATTTATGTTACTTACATTTATTTTTCAGTATCCTTTTAAAAAGTTGGCTCAACATGAAACGAAATCCCTATATTCAATGATCGTGCTATAATTTTGGAATGACCTTGAATGATCGCATCATAGTTTACCACCAGGCGAGATAGTGGTCAGACGTCAGCCCATCAAATATAAAAAAATTACGCTATCAAACTGGATACATAAATATTTTTATTAGGATCGAATGATAGAAAAGCTACGTAAGTTACATAGAACTGTTGTTACTTAAACCTATATTAAAATCGAAATTATATTGTAATGTAACTACATAAAGTTGATAATCCATCATTAAAGCAGTTTAAGTACATGAATCAGATTCGATTAATTAATCCTTGTGTCCCATGACAATGAATAGAACGGTGGACTTAACTCGTAAACCCATATCTACTGTTTTGAAGAGGACTTCACTGTAGAAGCTTAATCAACTTCGATGACAATATAGTTTGTTCCTCTATTCGTGTTAATGATGAAACTTTATTACTATACTGACTCATTAGACCTCAGTTATGTCCTAAAATTTCAACTAGGTATGAACAGGCATTCTCTTTTGACCTAAGTAGTTTTTTAGTAAGACTTTATAATGTAACCGTTTACTGTTACCTCTTAATATAAATAAAAATAATCCGCAAGTGGTTCACCAAACATGGGGATTATCGTATATTCTCTATTAAGCGGAAGAGTTTTATTTCGCAGTGTTCGTGTTTGGGATGATCATGATGATGTACGGAATCATTACGTTTTTTTTTATTTTGTTTACAATATTTAAATATTCATAAAGATGTTGCGGGTATTATGTGCGGATAAGAAATTAATCAAAAATGCCGACATCAACACGAGTTGGCATTTTTTAAAGATATTCCATTTATTTACCTTAATTCAGTATTCTACAAAAACTCAAGTAAATAAATAAATTCAATAAAAGATGCCATATTTCTGTTTAAAAATAATAATAATATCTTTCCAATGAAAATTATGATCTCGAACATACACACAATGTTAAAAGTCATTCAGAAGTTCCATGTAATAATTTTACCTTAATTCATAGAAAAGGAATAATGCATACTGCTAAGAAGTGGAATTCTTTGCCAGAGTCTGTATTTCCTGAAGGGTATAAGTTGGGTGTCTTTAAGGCTCGAGTGAATAGGTTGCTTATGGAATGACGTGCTCCATCGTAGACCGCATCATCGCTTACCACTAGGCGATATAGTCGTCAAACGTGGATCCATCAAATATTTAAATAAAAAAAGTAAATGAAATATCTGTTACAAAATAATAATTCTCTTATCCATACTAGATATGTTTTTATTTCTAGTAAATTGATCTATAAAAAAATCTACACTTCTTTCAATCGATTTCAAAGAGAAACCAAAGGAGGTCACAGTTTGACATGTATTTATGTTGGTGTGTCATTGTCTCGTGATTGGCTGAACTTTCTATGCGATTTTCAGATAAGTATTTGTTACACTTAGGAGAAGGTTTATTAACTCTTTCAGTCACACTTTTAATTGGTTACGAATATATTTTATTCAATTATACTGAAATGCTTGAAAACCAATGCAAAGTAATTTGAAGCATACTTAAAAAATTGAATTTCTTAGAAAAGGTGGTTAGTTACAATGACCACCAAGACTGAAAGAGTTAATAGTATATAGAGAAGGTTTATTAAATAATATTATACAAATTAACTGACTTTAACAAAAGAGGGGATTGAAGAAAGTTTTTGCTAACATAGTTTATAAAAGGATCATTTTCCTTTTCAAATCAAACCATGCATTTAGTACTCATTATCAAACATACAAAGGCTAGCACAAAATTTGCTTACCAATCAATAACAAACTTTATTCACTTATCCCACAAAATCGAAATTAGATAAAGTTATTTGCGGCCAGCACTGGAACATCACATCCAAAATCAAGAATTCCAAACGTGTGTAGTAACATTTACACGAAGTATAGGAATTGGCAGGTAGGCAACTATTGTGACGTATATAGAGACCCGTAATGGATGTCTCTAGGAATAGAATAGGTCTAGTCCTAATTCAGAATGCAGTGGCCTAATGGATAGGATGAGGCTCAATAAATATAGACTTGGCTGTATAGACTATAGATATGTATTTGTGTGACGGTGGAGATACGTGAGATCAAATAAAATCTTTATGATTCATTTATAATAAATAACATAACCAAACGTAAACTGAACGTAACGTAAATGATAATAAACGTAAAATCGTGGATGTTTCATTAAATTGTTGAAAAGCAAATTAAATTTCAATTTTAATGCTCATAGTTCGCTTGTAAAAATAATATTGTATTGAACCACTATTATTTTGATGTAATCACAAATATAAAACTAAACCCAAATATGCTTAGTTGTATGGAATTTTAAAAATTAATTTGCGTGATCAATATTTCAGAGTGTTGTAAATACATTATAATTTAAATCTTTAACCCTCGTAATTTAAAAAGAAAAGTCACTAATAATAATTTAAAAATAAACCATAATTTGAAGAAAAATTCACTATAAATATGCTTACCCCAAAAAATCAAAACACGTTCAGAAAACACTTCACACAAATCCACAAACAAAAATAAAAAAAGAGACAAGTTGAGAAAAACGATGCGACGAGTTCGTAAAGTTGAAATCACCGGGAGAGCGACGCACGTGCTTCCCTTATCGAGTGCGAGATGACAACTGGGCTGAGCAACGCGGGGCGTAGACACCCAAAACTGGCGGGGAGTGGACGTTTAGGGGCTGTAATGGACAGCCAAAGTAATGTAAATAATTTAGGGGGAACTCCAGACAGATAAGAGGATTTGCTATGATTTTCTGAACATGAAAAAATAGCATGTTTACTTGTCTAGTACCCTTTTATAATAACGTTTAGTATTCCTAGTAAACAGGTTTAGTATTAGTAATATTATGCGATACGAAGAAGACGTCATTTTTCATAATTATTTCTGGTAATTTAATGTTGGACATGCGAAATAAAATAATTGTCTCGTCCAAGATTTTTTTACTATTGCAATGTAATACAACTGTTATAATTTAATATGCAGTAGATATAGATATCCAAAATAACTGTAGAGTTAAGTAAAAGTAACAAATAATCTTACTATTTAGAGGTATTAATATAATGTTTATATGAAATTACTACGATTACAAAGACTTCATCTGAATCATTTCCAGCTAACTTGACATAAGACACACGCACATACTTGATTGTGTTTAAGAGAATAAACCATAAACCACTTCGAAGATCATCTTTATTAAATCTGAGCACAAGCTACAATAACTCTTCAAATCTAAAGGGGATTACACGTAAACCATACTTGACATTTACCACAAAATAAATCACCTTTGCGAAGAACGTTAGAAAAGATTTATTTACCGCCCCTAAAAAGAAACAGGACGAATAATTAAGTTGCTCATCTGGTATCCTAAGTCAACAAATCAGTCCATGTATGCTTAAAGGCTGCTGACCGGTAAATTAGCTGAGAAACCTGTACTAATATTTGCAAGGAAAATAGAGGATAAAGTATCTTCGAGGCCACATGATTAGAGAAGTTTATTAGTGAACTAGCTACTATTACCGGTACTAATGATGTCCCTTGAGGATTCACGGGATCGTTGGCAAGATATCGTACCTGTGGATACATTTGGACTGACATCGGCTTATTTTCTCGAATTGATTCCTTGGAAATTGACAGACAAATGGCATTGAATGTAATACTCTACTGGTTTTTTGTTGTGATCGTAAGGTATTATATGAATAGTCTTTGGGGTTTTGATGAACAATATGGGTTATGAAAGATCACCAATTTTTGCTAGCCCAGATTGTAAAATTTCCTTTGCATCTAGTTTTGCTTTAGAAAAAAGCAATTGTGTAAATATATGAACACCATTTTCGATTGCTATTCAGATAAAATAAAAGTGAAAAAAAAGATAAAAATTACCGAAAAAACTTCAGCAACCACTCTCAAATATTATCGTAATTATTTGACTAAACAAAGTAATAAAAATTCAATACAATATCCTTTCCAGTAGAATTAATCAAATAATGTGATGTTTGCTATCGGCAAAGCGTATAGATTGTTTAATAACATTATTGAAGGCAGGTGGCGTTTCTGACTCATCCGTTTATGACGGCGCTTTAGGGCTGGCACGTGACGTCATAACGGACTATGATAATATTTATTTCGAACATTTTGGTCGGACTAAAGTTGTATGGGGAATAAAACTGAAATATGTTATTACATGCATCAGTCGTATGTTAAACATGAGAGAATGAAATTCAACGTTATGTCAGATATTGTAAATTATAGGAAACGAACCTATATTTAACTGATGCTTCGTGTAACATTGGTTATGTTAACTTTAATTTGAGTTAGTAAAGAAAATAATAAAAACACTAAAAAAATGATTTGACGCATTTTACCCACATTTTAACCAAAATATTTCATGAGAAATAAATTAACACATTCGTTTGCAAATATTGAACAAATACATAACCAATACAATAGAAGAATTTTATTCGTCTAGCCCAACCCTATACGTTAACCTACACGAAGGGTACGTGTATCTAAACAATGGATATTTTAGCCAAATTTGATTGTTCTTATCTTTGAAATTATCGGAATTATAAAGCAGAACTACGACGGTAATCTAATATTTACTGTTTCAAAGCATTTCATATAATGTCGCAGCTGGCCAGTATGTAAGTTCCAGTTACGCCTCGTTGGGAATTGATGGGGTCCAAAATGGACAAGTTGGACATTAACAGGTTTTCAAACATTGAAAAAAAATATATTATAGTAACTGCCCCTAGAACAATTACCTAGGTTAATGTTACGTCAAATGAAGATTTTCTGCTGTGGCGTCAAATTCTTTTTGATAAACAATTCTATGAGAGTCCGTATATTACTTAGATTTCAAAAAGTGGTCTATTTGGCGCTATCGTAGGTCGCTAGGGTAAGGAATGCTTTGTGTCGTTCTCAGAAGACTATTTTTAATTAGACCATCAGAGCATAAAGATATTATATACGGCTTCCATTGCAGTAAATGTATAATTAAAATTGAAACCTACTACACGCCTGGGACGACAAACTTGCTTTGACCGACTTTTATGAGAAGCAACGATGTTTTATCATAGAAGTTTGTACAAAAGCCTTAGCACATATTTAACTATGTATATCAGTTACCTTGCATCTTTGAACAGTCAACTATAAATATTTATTTAGTGCTAGCCGTCCGACAAACTTCGTACCGCCTAAAATTTCTTTTTTCTCATTTTTCAAACCTTCCCTGGACTTCCGCAAATAATTCAAGACCAAAATTAGCCAAATCGGTTCATCTGTTTTCGAGTTTTAGCGAGACTGACAAACAGCAAGATATTTTTATACATATACTAGCGAACCCCACAGACGTTATCCTGCATATAATATAATAATAGATAAATAACCTAGATTCCGACTGCAGCGCCATCTGCCGGGCTGATTTGTGAATTTAAACCATACAGGGTGCCACTCAAACGCATACAGAAAAATTCATTTATCGGTCAAGCCGTTTAGGAGGAGTTAATGACATACACACGTACAGCAGAATTATATATATAAAGAGATAAATACATACATATTTATATAGATATTAGAAAAGAGTTTGATATCATGCCCGGTGTATTGTAATAAACTAATTTCCAACTACAAAAGTGTACCTAAGTTTTAAGCTTCAGCTTTAGCTGAATAAAAATTAATAGGTACTGTAATAACTTCCTTAAGGAAAATAAAATATAAACACATAATACACATATCATTCCAACATCTTCTCTAATCCTTAATCCTAACCATTCAGCATGATAAGACCAGGTTTATGCAGTCATGTCCGAAATCTTACGGCAAATTTCCTCTTTGAAAGCAAACAGAGCTTCAAGTAGTCACGCACAGCTAGAATTTGTTCCCGTGTACTCCAAATATATGTCCAAGTCACGTCTTCTAGCATTTTAAGGCGTAATAAAAGTAGTACTAACATCTCGAGAATGCTCTAAACCAGCTGTATACTTATCATACTTTTATTCTATTTTCTTTCTTACTAGTTGTTGTCGTTTCTGTTCGAATATACTTTTAATCCCCGCATGATGTCTTCAGGATTTTATTCTTTGTTGTAGGATTACTTCCAAAGATTCCTATGTCCTAAATTCTAAAGCCCTGTGATACTTTTGATTATTCATGAGTGGGTGTTGTTTTGACATTAACTAGTAAGATTTTCGGCGATGGCAGATGAGTAGGAGGTTAACATGTTAGCTGTCGGCTTCTGGAGTTATCTTTAAAGTTAGATTTAATTAGGTCTTAATACATTTCTCGCAGAACACTAACGTGAAACCACGCTTGCGTTGCGTACGCCGATAATGCACTTGTACCGCCTCTGGTGTTCCAGATGTTCAAGGGCCATGCCGATTGTTTATCATCAGGTAATCTGTCTGCTCGTTTACCGCCTTATACAATAAAAAATGACATTAAAAGACAGTCTGATTTACACGTGTAATTTTATGCATAGTATGTCAATTACCTCTAGCTTCATCAAATAAATAATGCATCGTTTAACTTCTTACTAAATCACCTAATTCAGATATCGAGCCGTAGTAATAACCAATTATACTTATTACTTGATTTTTCTACTATTGTTGTAATCAAATCATAAAAGATATAAAAATGTTTTAATGTAGATGATAATATTATATTATGAAATGCAACCACATATTTTACAATTTGTACAACATTTCAATATACCTCTAGACAAAACGGTAAGTATAACAGACGTAAGCGACAATTTACTAGCCACGTATTCTATCTGAAAATTGATGGCAGCAGCATACGACATCTCAATAGGAAACCGCAAACCAGCTAATGAAGTTTTGTACAGACAACCGCTTATCAAGTTACTCTCATGTCTGTTAATACATTTTCAACTATACCATTTGGTAACAAAGTTGAAATTCCATTGAACAAAGATAGGAAGTTCTCAACCGGTAACGTGTCAACGGATAAAATACAAGACACGACGACTTGTTAAGATATAAAGTTTTAAAGTGGAACTAAGTATTGAGTGAAATGGATACGTTTAGCCCCTGTTCTTGGACTTGGACTTAGCCATGCAAAAATCTTTTGAATTTATACCCCAATGTGCTAATGTAAGTAATATTCATTTTGTGAATTCATCAATTCGGTATGTTTTGGGCATGATACACGATTTTATTAAATGCGGTCATCATATCAAGCAGTTTTTGAAGCTTCCATGGGATATGGTCGAGGTCTTATGCATGAGAGTGCGGGTTCGAAACCTACCAACGGCAAGTACCAATGTGACTTTTTCATAGTTATTATTTACTTTCTAAGATTATCTAGACACCACTGACTTCCTCACACGATTCTTCACATCGTGAGGAAACCTGGCCTTTCTAATTATAAGTTTGTAATCGCCAACCCGCATTGAGCAAGCGTGGTGATTAATGCTCAAACCTGCTCCGTGTGAAAAGAGGCTTGTCTCAGCAGTGGGCATTTATAGGCTGTTGATGATGATGGGACATGGCATACAAAATCAAACATCTGTTTTTAAACAAAAATTATAAATATAACAAAATCATTTTATGTTAAAACTGACATTACTTTTAAATTAGTTGGACA